ATAATCGTATTAACATGCACATCAGGTATTTCAGACTTGTGTACCATAAATCTATATGCATTACTATGGTAGGCATAACCAATGAATATACAATCAATGGTTTTAGGCCCTATCTTCACCCTTTTAGGTTTAGGAACTACTACCTTGGCCAAACATCCTCGTACCTTTAAGTATTTATAATTAGGTTTGTGACCCTTCCATACTTCATAAGGTATCTTATACGTTTTTCGATGTTGTAATTTGTTAAGAAGATAATTGGCAGAAAGTAAAGCTTCCCCCACAAGTTCTGCAGTAATCTAGAACTTATCAACATAGCATTCATCATCTCTTTTAATGTTCAATTCTTGCGTTCAGCAATACCATTGGATTGAGGAGAATAAGGCGCGGTAATTGGATGAATTATTTCGTGTTCCGAATAGAATTGTTCAAATGGAGAATCATATTCACCACCTTCATCACTTCTTATAACCTTAGTCTTTTTACTAAGTTGATTTTCAACTTCCAACTTGCAATGTTTAAACACTTCAATTGCTTCGTCTTTGCTTTTGAGTAAATAAATATAGCAATATCGAGTGCAATCATCGATAAAAGTCATAAAATACTTATTACCTCCTCTCGTTTGAACAAACTTTAGATTGCATATGTCAATGGGAATTAAATCTAGAGGTTCGGTACTTCTTTCAACAGAACGAAAGGGTAAACGTGCCATTTTGACTTCTACACATATATCGTATTTGTGGTTAGGATTTAAATCGCACTTTAGTAATAAATCCAATTTAATTAGTCTACGCAAAGTATTATAATTTGTATGTCCTAATCGTTCATGCCAAATATTAAATGACTCAAGCAAGTAAGAAGAACAAATATTTTTATTCATAATCGAAGGTACAATAGTCATTACATTCAACTTAAAGGCCCTTCATTCAGGTAGCCCTTTCCTACAAATATTTCATTCTTCGTAAGTACAAATTTGTTTGAAATGAATACTAGCTTAAACCTGTTCTTGCTTAATAGGGAACCCGATACCGAATTCTTTTGAATACCGGGCACATGAAGAACGTTATTCAAAGTGAGCTCTTTTCCATTTGTCATTTTCAGCACTATCTTTCCATGTCCTTCAACCTTGGAAGATGATGAGTTTCTCATGTAGAGTTGTTCATCATGGTCCATTGCTTTGTAGGTAGAGAACATCCCACAGTTTGAGCATATGTGATGAGTAGCTCCAGTATCCACCCATCATTTCTTAGTGTTTCCAACGAAGTTGCATTCAGAGACGATAGCAGAAAGATTTATTTCTTGTACTTTATCAGAAAGGTTGTCATGTTCTGTTACATTTGCCTGGTGAGGTTTTCCCTTGACATTTTTTGGCTTTCGACGGTCATTGGATCGGTGTCCTGCCTTGCCGCAATTATAACAATTGCCCTTAAACTTTTTAGCGGGTTTTGAAGAACTAGTTTGCTCTTCGCCATTGTGCTTTCTCTTTTTGTTAGTCTTTAAACCTCATTCCACAACGTCAACTTTTGATTCCATCAAATGAGATGGACCACTCTTCTTTTCATATTTGCGATTGTCTTCTTCTATTCTCAATCGAACAATGATATCTTCAAGTTTCATTTTCTTCTACTTGTGCTTTAGATAATTCTTGAAGTCCTTCCAAGAAGGCGGTAATTCTCAATCAGTCCAGCGACTTAAAATGATTCACTTAGTTTCATTCATTCGGCATGGATGTCACTGAGTATGATTTGAAATTCTTGAACGTGGGATATGACAGTCTTGCTGTCAACCATTTTATAAACCAAAAAAGGATCGACAATGAATTTCTTCGTGCGTGCATTTTCGGTTTTGTACTTTGTGTCCAAAGATTCCCACAGTTCTTTTGCGGACTTCACATTGCAGTACACATTATATAATGTGTTATCCAATCCGTTGAGTACATAATTTCTGCACTAGAAATCGGAATACTTCCATGCATTAACCGCAGCCAATTTCTTAACGTCACTTTCTTGCTTGGTGTATGAAGGCGCATCTTCTTTGAGAAATTTTGCCAAACTTAATGTTGTTAGATAAAAAAGCATTTTCTGTTGCCAACACTTAAAATCCGACCCATTAAATTTCTCTAATTTTTCTCCGATCGTATTCGGGAGTGTAGTACCAGAAGTTGTCATTTCTGAAACACAATCAAAAGATAATCAATAAGAAAGAGTAAAAATAGAATGATCCAGAAAAGCAAAATTCATTTTAAGATTGTTAATCATGGAGTATAAGTTTCCCCTTCAAACAATTCGAAAGAATTATCATAACAGCATTATAGAAATTTAAATTCGAGCCCACCGATTTCACGATATTTCCTTAAAACAAATTTGCTGCCTTCAATGGTGCTAAAGGTATCCAACAATCGTTTCCCAGGATAGAACGAATTTCGTCTCCTATGGAAGCAGCACAATAATCTACAGGAGTTTGAACGAACGCAAGGAAATATTTTTACTTCGAAAATAGTATCAAAACGAGAGGGAGAATGAGATCAAACACCTTTCAGAACAGTCATCATTGTTCAGACAGCCTCCAAAACTCCAACAGACATGTTAGTTAAATACTGCGTCTGTTAAGTTGGTTAACGGTCGATGGTTAATAGTCGACTATTTGGTCGGTTAACAATCGTCTGTTTAACAGACCATCCAGATAATTACCCGGAAAAAGCCAATAAAAAAATTAAATTTAATTAAGTACCCAAGAACTTGATTGTATACAATTTGGTCCAAAAATTCAAATAATATAGTGCAAGGACACACCCGCACCGAACTCGAATACATGCTCGTGTCGAGCCAGCCGGCAACGCGCGCGGGGACTTATGAACGAATCCGATAGGATATAGGTCTCCCCCTTCCAAAGACTATTGGTACTCCTTGGGGCCCAAACCCAATTCCCAAACTTGCACCATATAAATTACACCAAAGTTTCATAACTTTCCTATGTGGAATAAGTGTTTGGGCAAATCAAATTATTCACTAATTCATAGTTTCAAGTGAATTACTTTGACATTAAATATTTCATTCAATTCTAAATTGTTTTCGATAAATAAATATACCACGTTCATCACCTTGCGGAGTAGAGCGTGAATATGCTAGGTTCCGTTTTAATTAAGATTTGGATCCCACTGAAATTTGGGTCCAAAATTGACCCATTTCATACCATTTTCTAACCGTTGTACTATTCAATTTATTATTGACGTTTGAATTTAATTTGAAGCAAACAAGTGTGCTACTCATTTTGATCATTATTATTCAATTTTTTCAGTCTTGAGCCTATAGAGGTTCGTTCGGGATTGCTATCTTTGATTCAACCGTTCTTTCGAACCTACGACCAATCGGTTAACAACCGACCGCTCTACCACTGAGCTACTGAGGAACAATGATTTGTAATCCAATACACAAATCAATTGAGAATTGTTATATCATTAGGGTAATGATCCATCAACCTGCTAGTTCTTTTTATGAGGCACAAACAGGAGAATTTATCCTGGAAGCGGGTGCTAAAATACACTAAAGTTCTTCATATTTTCTCATGAGAATGACACAACATTATTGGAAAATAATGAATTGTCAACATTTAGCGCTCTTAATTTTTTTCATATGTGCCAAAATACACTACGATCTAAAAGTCTTCCAATTTCTCTTTTGGGAAATCAACACAAGTATATTGGGAAATCGTGACTTAGTAGTACTTTTTTTTTTTTTTTTAACAAATGTACCAAAATACAGAAGTTATCCATTTTTTTTTTCTCTCAGTAAAATTCGAACTTCTAGTGAAATGTCGACTAATGCACTCTTGCACCTACGGTCTGCTTCTCTTTGCCTTAAAAAAGTGTGCTGTGAGAATTCCACTAATTTTTAATAACAAAATTACACTCAAATATCGATTTTCAAAAATGGTCAAGTTCGACTATTTTCTTTATACTTGCATAATCAATCATCAACAATAAACCACCGAAATTTTGTATTAAACAATTATTTACCCGTCGAGCATCCAATTTTGTGAATTTACATTTTGCTTTCCAACTAGTTGCTTATGAAGTTCCTATGATAGTTTAAAATGTATTTGGATGGTATCCAATTCTACGGACTGGTTGTACATAATAATTAGAGATCGAGTACTAACTTGCTCCATTTTAAAGGTAGAGGACTGACTTATTACTAGGGAAATAGATCGAGAGCCAATACTACAATATTTCCAAATTTCTTTTGTCGTTAATGCGGGGCGCTGTCTGAAATGCAATTTTCGGTCACTATGTTCCCAAAACTACAGCTAATCCCCCTCGAAACACGCACACCCTCTCCCTCTCTCACACATACTAATACCAAGCTGTCTCTATCTCTCTCACATACTAACTAGTAAAATCACACACTCTCACACACACACAAGCATATTCGTATTTTTCAAAAATAGAAATCGTTAGAATCACTTGATCTAAAAATTTAGACGGTTAAATACGATATATATATATTTCTAACGAGACGAGTTATACTTGAGTTGGGACCTTCTCAGATGTGTAGATGATGTCTAATTTTTCTCTTCAAAACTTAACAAGTCTTCTCAAACGTGTAGATAGTGTCCAATTTTTCTATTCAAAATTAAAAAGTCGAGCGATATTTGAGTCGGGATGTTCTCGAACGCGTAGCCACTAGCCAGTGTCCAATTTTTCTCTTCAAAATTTAACGATTCAATTCCATTAGAAAGAGCCGAAAGATACTCGAGTCTTGGCTTTCTCAAATGTATAAAATTTAGAAACTATTTTGAAATTAGATTTTTTTGTAAATTGTGATAGAAAATTTTGAAATATATGGTTGAAAAATTATGAAAGGCATGAAAAATATGATTAATATTGATTTTTTCTTTGATTTAAATTAAAATCAAATTTTAATTCGTACCAAATAAGCGACAGGCTAGTTGGGGAAATATTTGAGTAGTACGTATCATTAAAATGTCTCGTGGTGTACAAAATATTATTAAACACAGCACATTATTTGAACTTAAATCGCTCATTTTGGTTTAGGTACTGCGTTTTTGACTTGTTTCTCTCTATATGTGTATAGCTATAACTATGGGTATAATTTCGGGACGTTATAGAGATTGATGCACGAGTGGAAAGGATAGTAGATCAGAGATGGCGGAGGTATCCGGCGACGGAAGTGTTAGAGCGACGCCGGAGCTGAGTTCAGATGAAAGGAGTAGCAATGCGCGGCCAAGCGCGGCCCCGATGCCGTCGTTCAAGGAGGTGAGCAAAGGTTCATCGCGGCGGAGGGCATCGTTCCGGCCTAGTTTGGACTCCGATGACTTCATAAACCTGCTCCACGGCTCGGATCCAGTGAAGTTAGAGCTCAATCGCCTCGAAAATGAAGTCAGAGGTCAGTCTCGCCTGCTGGATCCACTAGATTTGTGTTGTGCTTTAGCAGCTTTAGTATGAAAGGTTTCTTTGGAATTGCTTACAGATAAATGGATATATAAGATGTATTAAGGTCGATTTAATGTGTGAAACAATGGCATTTTGATTAGGATTTTGTGAATTGCAGATAAGGAAAGGGAATTGGGAGAAGCGCAATCTAAGGTCAAGGCATTGAAGTTGTCAGAGCGCCTCCGTGAAAAAGCTGTTGAAGAGGTTCCGTTGTCTCCTATTTCCTTTTATAATAACGTTTCATAATTTTTAACCGATATCTATGCTGTAAATGGTTAGGTTATGGTTGTACAATGTTGTGTATGGAAGTGGGAAATTCAGTGTTGATCGAAAGGTTAATGGGACGCGCAGACGTATGGAATTCTTTTATTGTAAAATAAAAATATTGATTTTTGGCATAACTGTGGCGGAGCAGGACACCAAAAGGAAGAGAAGTATAAATAGCGCATGTCAAAATGAAATTTGGAAATTTTTTAAGATATCTTTTATTTTGTGGGCAATGTGGACTGTACGAGTTTAAGAGCGTAGATGAAGCCCAATAAATATAAATGATGCATAGAGTTAGAGAGAGACAAAGGAAATGACAAGAACACTTTTCCCTTTCAGGATATTTACAAAGTAAACTAGAACTGAACTGTGAAAAATGGTTACTTTGTTTGTCTTTCTGAGCGAAGAAATAGGGATGCAATGGAAGATGTATATTGTCAGAGAATCTTTGCAATTGATTTAAGCATACTTGAAGTGTAACTGTAATAGAGACATGTAAGATGGGAGAATCTCATTTATCTAAGGCTTCAGCCTTTTGATACTTTGGCCAGATCTCATTGGCAAGAAAATAGTTTCTAATAGTAAGAAAATTGAAAAAAAATATCTTCCTCCTTTAGTGTCAATTTTCACTTTTACTACCAAGTGGTAGCAAATTATCTAGAAAAGAGTTTCTCTCTGTTGACATTTATCTCTGTTTCAAAGGTCCAATTGCAAGAGTAAGATTTGGAAAAGCAAGTCTTATTCGCTATTAATATTCGTCTCCTCATGCTAATTTGTTGAGTTCTTCACGCGCGTCAATTACTAACTCTTTCAGTTCATGTGGATTCTCTTAGTTAAATTCAACTTGTTAGTCGATTTTAGCCTTAAAATAATTTTCATCAGAAATTGCAAATGTTAGGTTGATCCATTTAAAGGGGCACTAGTGCTGGAATTTTAAACTGACCGTGCAGGGGCGGGGGGGAGTCACTTGCCTTCCTCTTTTTTTATTTTTTGGGGACAAAGCCACAACAAATCTAGCATTTTCTTTCACTCTCACGTGACTCTCTCCCTCATTTCCATTACCAAAATCCTAACCCCTCTAATTCTTCAAAATTTGTTTATAATTTCTCCTGAAATTACCATATCCACTACAAATCTTCACTTCTCAATTAGATTTTCAACTAATTAGAACCTAAATTTGCATTTTTTTTTTTGCCACCAAATTTGCTATGCAAAGTGATTACCATCACGACACTGATAGCCTCATCTGCCATTGCAATTGTGGGGCCACCTTCACTCATCGAACCTCCAAACATAGTCAACTTAAATTAATATGTCTTTGAAAATGAAAAGGTAACCAGTTGGCGGACGACAATAACTTATAAGTCCAATTTTTTTTAAACCAAAATTCAAAGTGATAAAATGGGTTTGAGTTACACATAGTTTATTTTCATTTTGTCTGACTATGTTCAGGAATGATCTTTACATTTTATATATTGAATTGTGTCAATTTGATTAGGAATAGGTTTGGAATGATTTATGTTGTACGGGATGATTTCTGAATTGTATATAGAATGGGCTGGAATGATTCTATCTAATTTGGCTTACAATTATTGTATTGTGTTCATTTGAATTTATTATTAGTATTAAATATTGTTCGAAAGTTTTTCTTTCCGATGACTTGACTCGATTATTTTAATTAATGGTTTGTATCGATTATGGACAAATTCTTTGAACGTAAATATGCGTTTTATTGTGATGAGCAAATTATTAATAAAAGAAATGTTCGAGATAAAAGGGATAAAAATGATATTGGAGATGAAAGGGATGAACGACTTGGTGATGAAATGGATGTTGGGGGTGAAACTAATCTTGGAGAAGTTCCAGTGAAACTAATGCTGTGGATTTTAGGAATGAAAATGCTTATAAAACAATTATAATAAGATATCAAATGATTTA